ACCACATAAGCAAAAAGAAAAAAAAAAGCCAGAAGTTGCACTGTGGCTCAAGTGGTAGAGTGCTAGCCTTGAGCTGAAGAGCTGAGGGACAGCGCCCAGGCCCAGAGTTCAGGCCCCACGACCAGACCCAAAAAATAAATAAATATTTGTTTGTTGAATGAATGGGTGAGCCTAGTTCTCCCCCTCTCCGGCCAATCAAAAGGCAGAGGATATATGGTCCCTCCCACTGTCCCGTGAGCCTCCCCAGAGCTGATGGAGCTGGGTTTTCTGCAGGGTGGAGTGGTTTTATGCTTGCATTGAGAAGCCACTAGTATGTGTGTGAGGGTATACACTTCTCTGGGTCTGTTTATACACGGAAAGTCCTGTGTTCTAGGACTCCTCATGTCCCAGGCTAACTAGGCTGACTGAACACCCCACAACGGCTCCCTTCTCCCTCTGGACCTCTTTCCTTTTCATCCTCTTCTGAGAGGGTGGGGTCCACTGTCACCTCTGCACTTCTGTTTTGTGTTCTGAGGGGGATGTCAGAGGAGAAGGCATGAATGAGTGCAGAAGAGGACTCAGTTTGGACGTTCTGAAAGCTCTTTATTTATGAAGGAAGTGGGGTCAGCACAGCCAGCTGGGCCTTGGTGCTAGTTGTTTGCAATGGTCTGGAAAAAAGCAAGAGTGGAAAGGAATAGACTAGTTAGAGCCAGGTACTGTAGTTCACACCTATAATCCTATCTACTTTCAAGCTAAGATTGTGAGCATGGCAGTTCTAAGCCAGCCTGGGCTTAAACTTGAGGCCTGGGCACTATCCCTGAGCTTTTTCACACAAAGCGAGCACTTGACCATTTGAGCTACACTTCTACTTCTGGCTTTTTTGGTGATAAATTGGAGAGAAGAGTCTCCTGGATTTTCCTGCTTAGGCTAGCCTCAAATTGCAATCCTCAGATCTCAGCCTTCCAAGTGGCTAGGATTACAGGTGTGAGCCACCAGCACTTAGTGCTGTTCATGAACAATATCAGTGACCTGTCAGATCACCTGTTCCCAGATGGGGTCTGAGCTCTTCCCTGTCACAGCTGTCCCTACCCTTCAGCATTATTGTCCACTTCCCTCTCTGTGCGCCCACCAAGTGGCTCTTTGCACTGCATCCCTCTCCCTCTCCTTTTTACTCTCTCTCCCTCCCTCTCCCTCCTCAAGAAGGACCTGCTTAGCTGGATGCTGGTGGCTCAAGCTTGTAATCCTAGCTACTCAGGAGGCTGAGATCTGAGGATCGCCATCCAAAGCTAGCCCAGGCAGAAAAGTCTGAGACCCTTATCTCCAATAAACTACTTAGAAAAAGCCAGACAAGTGCTCTGGCTCAAGTGGTAGAGCACTAGCCTTGAGCAGAATCTCAGGGACAGTGCCCAGGCCCTGAGTTTATGCCCCAGGACCAGCAGAAAAAAGAGGAGGAGGAGG